CCGAAAGGACTCCTTCTTCAGCTTGACGGCATCCCTTACTTCCGGTGTCCACCACCGGGTTCAGGGATTGCCACCACGAATATTAAAAATGTTTTATTTATTTTCTACTTTAATTCTCTAACTTACATATATAAACCATAATAATAGTGACACTATAAAAACATATAAACTTTATGATAAACCTACAATAATACAATACTGGTCGTGGTGGTTTGCATTTTAAAACTAGCTTATGTATAGTAGCTTGCCAAAACTTGGAGACACACTGTGACCAGCTATAAAACAAAACAAACAAACAAACTTGGAATTTTTATTTTGTACATAATAAACAAAACTGTTGACAAACCTTCTGCTCTGTGTCCATATTATTGTAAATCAGCATATCCTTGCCATGCAGTGGTATACCACAAAAAGTGTGACAGCATGCGAGCTGCCGGTGTGACAAGAGTCTATCACAAGTCAAACTCAGCTTTTCGATCATCTTCGCTCGACACGACCATTTGTATGTGTTGTCATCAGCAAATATAATATGCTGATCAGTTGACTGCCGTTAAACCAGCAGGAGGACTCATCTTAATCCTGCACTTGTGTTTAAGTTTGTCGGGCTAACAAGGAGCTGCAGATAGGTTATTCGATGCAAAATTTCCAGGAGGACAAACGTTATAGGTTGCTAGGACAACATACGTCGCTTCAGATCGTCTATACAAGCGACGTTACACGCAGGTTAAAAATATAGGTCAGTAAGTAAGTAGTGTCTCTCAAATTGTTTCTTCCCTACGATAGATGAATGAAAGATTCTTTTAAATGTATAGATACTGGGCTTTTCAGAACCAGAGTCGTACGTTTTCAAGTAGCCTACAGTGTCATTTATCGCATCGGTACCTGGAAGTACAGTTAGAGTGGGACCTCTTTCCTGTAACATCCATTGACTCTTGTTTTTGTACATTCGCTTTTCACCACAAGAGGGCAGTAATTGTTCACCTGTAGTGCTGTGTGAAGTACTGATTATGGGTTGCCATTCGTTATAACCACATCAAAATGTATAATTACTTACTTTGAATGGATCAAAATGAATGACTGAGTGAAAAAAGATCATGCAGACTAAAATATATCTCAGTTTATTTTATTTATTTTCAGATAATGTTAGTCTGGGCTGACATTCTGGAAGGATAATTAATTACTGATAATTCAGTAATGATGAAAAACTATTTACTTCGGTATAATTTTTGTCTTCTTTTACTTGCGTAATCCATGTTTTGATGCATAGAAGTAGCGACTGCAGTAATATGAAGTTAGTCAGTCATGAACGGGTGTGGAATAAGTACTCATATCATTTACTTAAGTAAAAGTAGCAAGTGTCAAAATGCTCAGTTACCAGCAAAGGCCCTGCATTCAAAATTCTACTTAAATAAAAGTACAAAAGCATTAGCATCAAAACATACTTGAAGTACTAAAAGTAAAAGTACCCATTATGCAGAATGGCACACATTCCTGTATATCATATTATTGAATGATAATTACTGATGCATTACTAGTAAGTAAAATTATTAAATAAAAGTAGTGGAGGACAAAGTACAATATTTGCCCCAAAAATGTAGTGAAGTCAAAGCAGAAAGTAACAGAAACTGAAAATACAGCTGCCTCAAAATTGTACTTAACGGCAGTACTTGAGTAAATGTACTTAGTTACTCTCCACCACTAGTCATGAACAAACTACTTTTACAAAATAATACATATTTTCTGACAGATTATTTTCACACCAATGAAGAGCTAATTACCGCAGTACAAAAGGCACCAGAGGACAGGAAGTCTTAGATTTCAAGCCATCCCGTTTGACTGGCTAAAGGATAAGCGTTTATAAAATAGCCTGAATGGAGGGGGAGGAGGATGCTGGGAAATGCAGTTCTCCCAGAAGTTAGCGGATGTGACGTGTGGTTATGTAACTGGTAGCTGGGTGTCGTCTGTAGTCTGCTTTTCCGTAGTTGGATGAATCAGGCGACGTCGGCAGTCCTTGGGATATGACTGTGCTTTTGTAGTAAAGAGCTAACTTTAGCTAGAACGTTAGTGGGTTGTCAGGTTTTTGCGGCTACATTATCTGAAAGAGCGAGATTTAAGTGCCAACATTTTCTGTGGATATTCTGGTGTTTTTGTTAGCCTTAATTTTTAAGATGGTATTGATAATGTTAATGTTTTTTGGTAAATGAAGCTAACCTAACTTGTGCTAGATGGCTAACTAGCGTGCCATCAACTTGAGATTGTCATAACTCTGTGGGCCGTTACCTTACAATTCATAAGAGAGGGTAGCTAACTGGAGAATTGCTAGCCTTTAATGCTAGATTAACCTGGTAGCATAACAACACTGGGAAACCGAACGAAGTTAAACGGAGTAAGATTTGCTAGGATAGTGAAGCTAGCTAGTTAGAATCTGTAATATGAAAAAGGTACAGTCTGAGACATTGGGTTTTGTTCCTCAAAAAGACATCGTATACAACAAACTTCTACCGTACGGTGATAGGTTAGATGATGAATCAAATGATATTTTGAGAAAAATAAAAGGAAACTTGGCCCGAGCTGTTCAGCTCAGAGAGATATGGCCCGGTGTGCTGTTTTGGACAAGGAAACTTTCTACGTAAGTACCGCTGTGTTAACATGTCGGTGCTCACTTCCTAATATTTTCAGTGTAAAGCCTCTTGACGAATGCTCAGCTAACTTTTGTTTAACATAACGTAATGTAAACAATTTTTTCATGTAACGTGCGTTATGCATTTGTGTGTTAGGCAACACAGAACACAGCCAGTGGCTGGCTCAGACACCCTCTAGTATGTTAGCGAGCTGTTTATGTTAAGAAGCTACAAACTGTCCAGTGCATCTGATTAGGGATGGTGTGGATTTCATAACTGCAGCAGTGAAGTATCAAATACACAACATGACCGAGACAGTGCATCAAGGTCGTAAACTGCTGTTCAGATTTAGTCTGACTTTGACATTTTCAGCAAGTCAGATGGTTGAAGCATTATATTTTACCCACTTTTGCATTTATCCTTCAGTTTTTTAGTTAGGAGTAACATTGCAACAGTAAATATATTGTCAACATGCACTGGATTACTTTGAGTTTCAGTTTTTTAGGAAGGAGTAACATTGCAATAGTAAATATTTTGTCAACATGCACTGGATTACTTTGAGCGCTGTTTCATTTTGTTGTACTTGGTTGCTGGGCTGTCTAATCCTTCTCAGTCCTCAGTGCTGGCTCATTGCTCTGTCCAAGTGTGAGTCACTGTCAGCTCAGAGAGATGGAAACTTTACTGTGGGGATGACCCAGATTCTGTTCACTGGTGTTTTGGCATGCAAACAGTGATGCAGTCATTTTATAATGGTCAGTTTCAACAAAGATTTCTCAGTTTTAGGTGTGTGGTGGTGTTTTTTTTTAAATGAGTTGTGGGTCAAAATATTTGGTGTCCGGATTTGTTACAATACATTTTTATGCATAAGAGAACATAAGCGCCTGAAGTTTGCATTGTTCATGCTGCTCACAGGTGCTCTGACCACTTATCATCATTGAAACTGGAACGGTTATCCCTAAACCTGTACTTCTTACTTAGATACATGAGATTGTATGGACGCAAGTTCAGCAAAGAAGACCATGTGCTGTTCATCAAGTTACTCTATGAGCTAGTGATGATACCCAGACTGGAGATCAGCATGATCCAGGGCCTTGCTCGGCTTCTTATCAACCTGCTCAAGTAAGAACGGGCTTTATCTGTTTTTCTCAACAACTTCTACATGGTAAACATACCATTATTGCACACTTAAATGACAACATAAGCTACAGATGCCTGCCTGTGACAAACTGTATAAGATGCACCCTTCAGTCTGAAGCTGGTGTTGGCTCACTAATGAGTACATTTGTCAGTCCAGTAGAATGATCTGGTTCCTGCTAATGTAGCACAAAGTTCAAATCACTCCCAAAATAAAATCATATAAATTCAGTACAAAGGTAAAATCATGACCATGCTTGGTCACAAATTTCGCCAAAGCAAATACACATAGTTTAGATGCTATGTATCCAGAAGGAAGAACGCCACATCTGAATCAAATTTGAGTCATTTGGCTGTTTTTAATGCTCTCCGTTTCAAAAAGCCAAACCATTGTTAGCTCTGGTTTTTGCTCCTTCTCCTGCTTTCTCTGTGCAAGAGAGCACGACCTCTTCTGCCTGGCAGAAGACTTTTAGCAGATGAGAAGTCTTTCATGGCTGGTCATTTGAAATGACTACTTTTCAACTACAGTTTGAAAATCAGTTCTTATAATCTTCACTAGATGGTAGGTGGGGCTAATTTTGATTTTGAAGACACAAGATAGAGAACCTGGAATAACAACAGAAGAACTGTAAGTAACAGACTGTCAAGGAAGGGTGTAGGATAGCAGAGAGACCCCACATCTTGTCACATTTTCACTTGATTTATCAGTGTGTAAAATCTTAGATTAATGTACCTTTAAATGTCACTGCAAAAGATCACTTTGATTGGTTATTGCTTCCCTAAGAGTTAAGCTAGATTGTTTAAGAAGTCATGCAAACTCACCATTGATAATAAATTGTGTAATCTTATGGATTTTTTTCCTCATCAGGTAAGGTTGAATGATGAGCAAGGCTCTGTGTGTTTATTCTCATCTACAGTATCTGTATATTTGATTCAACTCACAGGAAAAGGGAGCTGCTGTCAAGGGAGGACCTCGAGTTGCCGTGGAGACCGCTATATGAGCTCTATGACAAGATTCTGTTTTCGAAGACAGAGCATCTGGGCCTCAACTGGTTTCCCAAGTATGCCTCCGTTCCTTATTGCTGCTGTTAATATTGTGGTTTTTTTCAAGCTTGCTTAATCATAGAATTTAGAAAATGCTATCACTATATCTAATGAAGAACATTTAACTTGTACGGATGGTACACCAGATGTTTAGTAGCCACATTTGTTTTAGTTTTTATAGCCTGCTGTTACTCCAACACCTTCAGTACCCATTATGCTCTGGCAGAACTTATGCTAATATTCTTTTTTTTTTTTATGATAATAATAATAATAATATTATATTTATACTGTGCTTTTGAAAACACTAAAAGAAGCTTTACAGACAATCAGTAAAAAAAATAGTTACACATGCAAACGCACAAAGGAATACATTAAAGAAGTTACAACTACAGTAAAGAAAAGGTAAGCAATGTTCTGTCAAGTGTTTCTTTCTCCTGCAGAGTTTAGTTTCTTGGATTTTATCATGGTAAATCTAAGTTGAACCAAATTTTAGCATGTGAATAAAATAAACTAGATGGATAAAATGACAGTGGAATGTAGCCAGACAACTAAGAACTGTAAGCAGCTTGATAGTTGAAATGCAAACATTAATAACTGTTGGCTAGTAACAAGTTTCACCTTTAAACACCTTTAAGATTTATTGTTCCCCCACTTGCAGAACTATTGTTTAACATTGATCGGCTAGTTGGCTTCTTTTTAACACAGTATGATCAGTAATAGAAATGGACATTCAGCAGCACTAAGCTAAGAGCCTTTCTGGCAGAGCATGGTAGGTTTGAGGGTCAGTGCTCCTTTTGAAGATATAATAAATCAAATCTTAACTCATGAACATGAAACCTATCTTCTGTAGGCACTTTCTGAGGATATCATTATCTACAATGTTTATTGCCATAAAACTTACACAAATCCATTTAGAAATTATAGGAAAAAAGACAGACCTTTTCTTGAATGTTGCTGTTTTTATTATTCTTACTTTTTGCCTTTTTTAAGTTATACTAGCCTCTAGGTCAGGTTACAATTTTTTCACCCCAAGTTGTGATGTAAAGGAGACTGTGGAGAGACAAGAAAAGGTGCAGAATGTAAATATCACACATTTATTGTAGGATACTAACAGTTATACATTAAGGGCCTGAACATCTGCGTGTGTGTTTGGGAGCGTGTGACAGTCGTCAGTAATCAATAGGTCATAAAGCATCTAAGAACTAGTTACTGTATACAGCTAAAGTATTATCATATATGATTTAAAAGAGACTTGCATTGCACACAGAGGAACATGTTAGTCTACGATGTGATTCCCATTTGACATCACAGCCTTACATTATTGAGAATGTCCTGGAATACTATTTCCTGAAAATACTGGGAACCTTGAATATAACAAGGTTCTCCATTGTTTACTTGGTAAATTTTTAGTTATCATAGATATATATTTATTGTATTGAATATTTTCATGGGCCAGTTTTATTCTACTTAATTTTAGGTTTAGGCTTAAGTTATGGTTTTGGTAGTGTGAATAGAAACCATGTGCTTTTGTATAAGTTGTTGTTGGAGAATAAATGGAGCATGTTTTTATGCCACATACTCTTCATAACTACTTTTTATATAGAACTATGTCTCCTCTGGCCTTGAAACTTATCACAGTTTTGGAGAGAAGTTTAAATGTTGGTGTTCCCTTTGGCGAATTCTTTATGAAGTTCTTAGCCAGCAGTGCGATGTGCTCTTTTATGGTGCTATGGGAGCATTGTATGCTTATTACACAAATGCCTTGCTATTCAATCAACAGCTAATGAAAGCAAGCTGCTTTGGCTGATCGCTAGCTGACCTCATTCAAAACTATATTAATGAACACAAAAGATGATATTCTGATAAACTGTACGAGTTGATGCTTTGTTCTTATTTTGAGTTTCTGGCACTTTGTGGCATGCTGAATGTGTTCTTTATGCCTTTGTCTCCTTTCACATTCAGTTCTCCATGGTCTCGTTCATCCTCTAAACTGATAATGCTAAAATTGATTCAGTGGTGGTAAGGACAATACTTCTCTTTGTGTTTTACTTTGGCTTCATCGTATGAGGCACTTGCTTTTTTGTTGTTCATTGCATGTGAAGACAAAAACTGGACACCCTGTATGCAGCTTGTGACAGAAATAAAACCAAGACTTGTTCAATGTTAACATTTCACTCATATTTGAGACTGTCGCACTGCAGCTAACTGATTATTGACCCTTCTCTTATTTGCCTTATCATATTTGTGAGAGATTGATAAAGGACTGTATAGTTTAATTTATGGGATTTCTTTTAATTGGTCATGTTGTGTTTCTCGGTGTTTTAGCTATAGTGGATTATCTGACAGTAATATTGTAACAAAATGATGGTGACAGTGTTAGGAAATTATACAGTGTGACTTTATAATACATTCTATAGCATTTATTACTCTTTAAGCTTAGCAGTGGTGCTAGTATTTACATTAATGAGCTATCAACAACTGTCTGTATAGTATACTTACCCATGTTGAGGGGAGTTAGCCATCCTTGCTCTGCTACACAGGATTTTCATGAATCAATGAGAAGCACAAGTTTTTGTTTACATCCTTTAATATGTTGAGGTGAACATGGGAATTCATGTCAACTGTCATATGCCAAGTGTCATATGGTTCACCCTCATTGTCAGAAACAAGTGTCATATGGTTCACCCTCATTGTCTGAGCACTTTGTGATGGGACACTCAGCCCCATTCTAGCTATTGTTTTATTTGCTTTGCATGAGTTTGCATGAGGGGCCTGAACCACGAAGAGAGACTGGTGGCTTTTCCAGCTAACTTTGGGCTCGGCTCAGGTTTTCCTGCTTTGGAACAGATTAACTTCAGAGGATGGGCTCAGAACCTGTCAACAGCCTGAGCACTGATCAATCAGTTCACTGGAAAAACAGGGGGATTATTCCTACTGGATCCTGACAGGGACACAGCCTACATTAATGATAATTGTTTTTTAAATTAGAAAAATAAGTCATACACTTAGATGTTTCCCATTATAATAAGTGAACAAATGTTAGGTGACATGAGTCACTTCAGACAAAGGAGAAAATTATAGCTGATCACTGAATAAGACCCTTATAATAATTCTGTGCTAATGCATCTTATATTGTTAGTTTTTCCTTAATAATTTAAAGATATTTATAGTTAAGAGCTTCTTATCCTGCAGTATGTAGCCATAGCCCATTGTTCATATTTTACCTGCTATAATATCACCTTTTGCTCTGGGTATAAACAATTTTCCCACAGCTCAATCTCATATTAAGTACTTCATGATTGTGGTAGTGTCATTTCTAATCTTCTAATGAACACCACCTCTTTCACATAAATGTGCTCATAGCCTGATAGAAAAACCCAGACTTAACACAGTCAGCTGATGACTGGCTTTGTGGTACCAGTTATCTGGGATGCTGGGAAGGGCCAAAGTTGAGCTCAGTGAAGCCAGATAACACCAAGAGAGCCAGACTGAGTTGAACTCACTTTGTGGTTACAGGCCTCAGGTCTCTGCACTTTGTATTGTGGGTTTACAGTGTTAAAGACTGGGCTAGGTTTGGATAGCTGGCTCGCACAGTGTTACGCATAATTCAGCTATTGTTAGAGTAGGCTATCATATGTGGAGTGTGTCGGCTACAAAAAGACTTGAGTGATGTGGAGATTAATAACCAGTTGCCGAGGGGGCCTGGCAGGGCATTTTCAATAAGGCTTGAACTTGTATGTGTGCAGATAGGTGACCCACGGCTTAAAGTTCTCCTCTAAAGTTTTTAATTTGAAAATGGATAGCCTAATTATATGTCTATAGAATATATTTGTGTATTTTTAAATGTCACGTGGCAAGAATATGGCTGTATATGTATGTATATAGGCTTAAGGAATCCTGTATTTTGTATTAACAAAGTAGACCTACTTTATTAATAAAAACATTGTTTACACCTAAGTGTCACCTCAGTATTGCATGTGAGTGCGGCATGCTACCCTGAAAAAGTGTGGCACTGAACCAGCTGATTGTTTTGTTTTCACGTCGTCAGGATCTTTTGTACTAATCTGACAATCATTTGACAGCAGTAGGTCAATTATGCCCCATACATGTCTAGAGAGCAAAGGAGGAATGAGTGCTGAAAAGTTTGAGCGGCATATTGGATATCCTTAATGGCTTGAAGGTTACCATACCAGGGTTTCCGACTGAGCAGAGGGTGGGTAGATTTTTCCGCTGTTTGGACCTTTCAAGTTAACGTGAGGATTTGGTGGTTCTAGCTCTGAAATGAGGCTTGGTACATGCACAGCTGTCATCCATGTGGCTTGTAAACTACAGCTCGCTAGGCTGTGCTTTTAGCATCTTCTACCAATATCTAGGCTATAGTTTGTGTTTTGTTCATTTAGAGCATATAACAGAAATCTAGTAGGTATCCAGTCATATTCAGCCATCACTAACACTGAAAATCACACTATGCTCAGGGGCAGATCTAGAACATTTTGAATGAGGGGGATCACTGCTACACAGTGCTTTCCCCTGAATGAGGTGAATCATGCCAAGTACTTCACATTTAGAGAAGCGAATGCAAATATCATGCTGCGTGCATAGTATAAAATAAATCTAATATGACCAATATCTGTTATAAAGCACTAGAAAAAAATATAGTTGTGTTAAGACAACAATTTGTCATTGTTTTTCATTTTTCATTCATTATTACTGACAAGCATCACATTTTCACTTTGGCAGAGATGGCCAGTCAGAATCTGGCTATGCTACATTTAGGCACAGGGTACTCCACAGCTGTGCTTTTATTGGTCCTTAGCTTTCAACACTGCTATCTGACAACAGTCCTGCACTTCTGTATGTAAAGATAACCATGTCAGGAGTTTGTGATGTGTGAGGTAATAATAATAATATATGTCAAACCACCTTTAACAAACCGTCATTGCAGTGATTGAGTTTAAGTTGACATGTCACGAATGAACAACATGAGCCCATCCAGGAAGGTCTACCACTACTGACAATAATAACTGTTTATTTTTGGTGAAGCAATTATAGTTTCATAATTTGATATTACAATGTCCTCACCATACACCTAAGGGTTTCCTTTTCCCTGTACAACAGTCAGGTTTGTAGAAAAGTTTCTATCTGCATGGAATCAGTCATATTGCATTGGTGTGAAGATTGTTTAACTGTAATTCTAACATTTCTAGCATTTGACTGTTTGGATATGTTCATCTTTTCTTTATTCTCTTTTATTACAGCTCTGTGGAAAATGTGTTGAAAACCCTTGTGAAAAGCTGCAGACCGTAAGTGCATCTCAATATTTTCTATTAATGCCTTGTTCTGTCTCATCTTAAAATTTTTCTGGAGAATTTTAATGCAATTTCTGGAAGTTAGTTTTGTGAATGTTGCTTTTGCTTTGCTTTTACCAGCAAGTCCTCGACTGTGTTCGCCCAGGTTGTGTACGTGCAGATATCTTTGAGCAATAGGACTCGTTCCTCAGTTTGCACTTAGGCAGATAATCCTATTATCTCACCTAATTTTGTCTTGTGTGTGGGTTTCCTGTCACTGTCAGAAGGGAGAGTGATTTGTGGTCTGAGACACCGTGGATCAGCAGTGAGACAGAGGGAAGTAGAGGATGTGGAATTGCTGGGGAGACTAGATGAACCGAAATAACCTGCAGGGTTTACACAGCACATTGTGACCTATGAAAATCCCCCTGTGGGACTATGACCCCAGTGGAACCACAGGATTTACAGCTAACAGCTAAACAAGTGCCAGGTGTATGATTTATAATCTCCAGTTTGTAGAACATTGCACTCCATCATCATAATTTCAGTATGCTGTTGGTTTGAAGCCATCAGGTCTTATCAGGTATTTATATGAATGTAACTTAGATTTGTCTTAAGTCTGACAGTAAAGTCTGGTCATCAGTCTCCTGATAGGTGTGTGAGAATATGCTTTATAAAAGACCTAAGGGTCTTGTTTGTCTTTGTAGCCCTCTCTAAGCTGCTGTGCTGGTTGAGATGCTGCAAGTGTCCCCATTCATAATTTCATGAAAGATATTAATTTCATTGGTTTAATTATTCACAAAAAATGTAATTGTGATTCTCTCTTTGCTCGTTTATCTACAAAAAATGTAATTGTGATTCTCTCTTTGCTCGTTCCTACAGATACTTTCCAGAGTCTGCTACTCAGGAGATGCTGGATGAGTGGAGACCACTGCTCTGTCCCTTCGATGTCACCATGCAAAGAGCAATCAGCTACTTTGAGCTCTTTCTTCCCACAACTCTGCCTCCAGAGCTGCACCACAGGGGGTTCAAGTAAGAAGCCTCTCATGTTCTCCTACACCTGGCTGAGATTCAAGCTCTTGCTCCAGTCTGGAGGTTGTTTTAATAAGGGTAAATAAATAGCTTGGCCTCTGATGAGATGAGATGACGGCCAACGCTGTATTAGTCATACAGTTTATAAATGCAGACGTAAATGTCATGACTGCCAACCAGTCAAGGTTGGCGTAATGGAATAAGTGCCTCTGACAAGAGACATGTTTTCTTATCCAGTTCGATTAAAACAACATTGATGCCTATAACTGACTCAGTATTTTTGATGCTTGTTAAAATTTAAAAGAACGCATATTGTATTCATCACCATATTGTTTAGATTTTCCTTCTTCCCACACCATTACACCATGGTGTAGAGATGAGGTGAGTGAGGCCCCTTAAAACTGTCAGATCATGCTTTCAATGTCAGTGCCAACCTAATGTCTTAATGTTGCAGTGTGCTGATCAGCTGCATCCCTTCATAGTCACTGTCTACCCTTTTAAGACATATACTTTCTGCAGGGGAATAAAGCAAGTGACCACTTGGAGATTTTTCCACGGTCATGACAGGGACTTTAGTGTATTTGTCACATCTCTCCCCACAGAGCTGGAAACTACTATTGATTAATTTGCAATTAATTGAAATTAATTAATTGCAACTTTATGAATTGAGTACCTTGTGTTTTCCTGTAATTACAGTAACACCAAATGGCATCGTTCCTTATAGAAATTATCCTGGAATTTATTATGAAATTATTCAGAAATAAATAAAGCAATATACTAACTAGTTTTACACAGAGGTATTTGTAGAAAATAGCCAGTGAAGAGCGTTAATGAGAAGAAACTGGGCTGAAGTCTTTCTGATCCCAGTCTTCCCCTCAACCCTACTTCCACTGAAATTTCCAGTAAATGTCACATGTACTTGGCAGAGTTGTTTTCTGCTGTCATAACAATTTTTGTCTTATAGGTTGTGGTTCGATGAGCTGATCAGCTTATGGGGGTCTGTACAAAATCTCCCAAGCTGGGAAATGGTGAGTAGATTATTTGTCAAAACATGTTTGAATGTGAAGCCAAGAATATTTCTGTCTTCCTGTGTAACATGCTGCCCTTCACCTGTGCAGCATCTGGTGAGTCTGTTTGCTCGTTTGGGTAACGACAACATTGGCTACATTGACTGGGACCCTTATATCCCTAAGGTTAGTTGCCCTCTTTTTTCTGAGTAACCCCTTATACAAATAAACACTTGTTTGTTTTGCGATGCGTGGCAAATGCTCACATGTATGGCCTTGACCTTTGTGGTTTTGGCTCAGCATAGTGTGTTTCGTTGCCATTGCTGCTTGTCAGAGAAACAAACTATCAAGTTTCCTTGTTGTGCTTGTTGTTGGCCAATGATGGGAAGTGACTTGGGCCATGTTTGTTTTCAGCTGAGTGACTGTTTTGGTCCATGCTTTTTGAGAACATTGTGTTACTGATAAATATAAAAATGCTGTCCTGACCTGTTAAGTTTAATTAAATATTATGGCATGTAATCAGTTTTATCACAAATTCTCCACATCAAAATAATGAGGTATTCAGACATCAGATGTAACTTTTTTTTTATGCATTTCAGATTTTCACAAGAATTTTGAGGAGTTTGAATCTCCCTGTCGGGACCGGTCAGATGATAGTACCGCGTTACGTCACCAATGCCTATGACATCAGCCATGTGGTGCTTTGGGTGTCATCCCTCCTGGTTGGTTCAGTGTTAATCACATTTTTTGTAAACAATTGCAGCTAAACTAAGTGTAAACAACTTTCTATCAATTAACTCTTTCAGGGAGGACCTAGCAAGCAAGCTCAAGCACAACTCAGTGGCCTTTTCAACAGCATCACATCCTTCTTCCACCCATCAAACCATGGCCGCTGGTTGGTGAGTCACTTTTTGCTTCAGGTAGACAACCGGAATTGAAGAAACCATCAACAATGTGAACTGCGTCACCGAACAGTCTATTGGAAGTTCATTTATTTTTAGAAATCCGTCTAAAATCTATAGGAAATATGAGTCATGATGATTTGACTGCTTCTCATGAGTTTAAGTCCATCACTCATCCAACTTGTTCCAGCTATAATTCTAGCATTGTGTTCATGGTCCAGAATTAATGCCCATCAGGCACCAAATGTGGGTAACTTTTCCATTTTACATTTAGTGAGTAAATATCAGAAGGCTACCTGGCGGTTAAATGTTTGTAGCAAAATAGTCATGCAATAAAGCAGTATCCTGAGAGTCTCTACTGTGGGCGCTCTCCTTCTGTCTGTGTCAAGAGTTTGAGACATACGCACACACCTGTATTCTGTGAAGCCCTGCCCCTACTCTGCCTCTGATTGGCTTTCTGAGCCAAGCATAAAAATACGCTTTAGGCAAATGTAAAGCGTGAGTGATATGTCAGACAAAAATGGGCAGTGTGGTCAGCTGTACTGATGTAAAATAGGAATGTGTTGGTTACACACGTCTCAAAAATGGGTAAAACGGTTTTGTTGTAGACATGATGTGACACTTACTGTCCAAGGTCATCTAATTAATCATCTGACCATAACCACAGCAATTAAGAAGCAGAGTAGCAGTGGGTCCCCGTGGAACACGAGCACTTGTGTGTGTGTGTGTGTGTGTGTGTGTGTGCGCGCGCCACATTCTGACAAAGACAGGAGACCAGACTTCATGGACAATGCAAAGAAGCGAATGGCTGCATTACAGAGTGAGGAGTCTCAGGAGGAGCTTTAATCTGGTTTGAGTGACTAAGCATCAAATGGGTTTACAAAACATCATTTCTACTGAAGTTTGTCCCTGAAGTACACTTAATAGAACATTCTGTATGTTAAGTAGAATTTTGCTATCAAGGCTTCTTGATTTCTATTGTGGCTATTAAATGTTAATTCAGAAATGAATTTATTAGCTGCTGATTGTTTGACTGGCGGATTTATTTATTTTTTTACCAGCCTCCTTGGCCAGTGAGTCAAAAAGTTCATTTCAGATCCGATCGTGTTACCATGACTTAACAGGCCACATGGCAGCAGCATTTACAATGACAAAGTGCATAGTCACTTGTTATCATTTCATTAGGAAACTTCCTGAATCTTGTTGACTATGTAGATATGACGTGAGGACATGTGAGTGTGAGGCTTGCCATGCTATTTAAGGTCACTGACAGGGTCACATGCCTTTCTGTTTTGAGGAACACTCTCCACTTGATTTGAAGCAACGTGTTTTCATACACAAACTTTTATTTTTAGCTAGGGTGCAAGTTTGTTTGTATTTTAGGCTGCAGCCTGGAAACACACGAGACGTTCATCCACTTGGCTGTAGTTTTATTACACTATATGTAAACAGTGTTTTGCAATAGGCACTTACCTAGCCACTCACTGGAAGAAGAGTAGGAATATTAAATTGTATATCAGTATATAACAAAATTTATGTTCTATTCCTGATGAAATTTCATTCATGAAACTCCTGAAACTGATTATACCGTTCTAAAGTCATCCCAGTAATTTGCACATAGATCCTAGACAAGCAGATAAAACTGCGTTTACAGCGTATTGGTTTGTGTTTGTTTGTCCATTATGTCATCTGTGTCTCCAGATGCTCCATTCAACACACTTTATTTCTCCATTTGCCCAGACTACATGGAGGCAGGTTGTCCACCCAATTGTCACCCTTTTGTCATGTATCTGTCTTTCTGTCCCTCTGTCCTCATTTGCAGATGAAGCTTATGAAGCTACTCCAGCGCCTCCCAGCTAGCGTGGTGCGGCGGCTGCACCGAGAGCGCTACAGAAAGCCCACATGGCTAACACCAATACCAGACAGTCACAAGCTCACAGAGGAGGATATCACAGACTTTGTGGAGAGTATGATGCAGCCAGTCCTGTTGGCCATGTTCAGCAAGACAGGCAGTTTAGATGCTGCCCAGGCCCTGCAAAATCTGGCTCTAATGAGGCCTGAGTTGGTTATTCCCCCTGTACTGGAGAGGTAAGTTTGTACTAAACTAGAGAATCTCAAGGATAAAGCTTTGACCCAAATTCTGCTTCTTATGAATCTGGAGCATTGTTGCTAGTTTTTTTTTTTTGCTTTCGATAAGAGACAATGCCACTTTTTGAGATGAACACAAAAGAATAATTGTTCACTGTCTCTACCATAGAACATATCCTGCTCTGGAGACTCTAACAGAGCCCCACCAGCTGACAGCCACTCTGAGCTGCATGATTGGTGTGGCACGGAGCCTAGTTTCAGGTGGGGAGCGCTTTCCTGAGGGGCCCACTCACATGTTGCCCCTGCTCATGAGGGCTCTGCCAGGCGTCGACCCAAATGACTTCAGCAAGTGCATGGTACGCTCCACTGTTTTTCATGTTTACCTTCATGCTGCACTGCTGCTGTGTTTGTGGTGGCATACATCTGATATTGACGTTATCTTTTGTCCCTGCAGATTACATTCCAATTTATTGCCACGTTTGTGACTCTTGTGCCTTTGGTGGACTGTTCATCTGCCCTATGTGAAAGAACGGACTTAACAGAGGTGAATCACTGTTATTTTTTTTCCTATTATAATAATTAAATGCACAGTGTTAAATGATCCTTGTGCCTAGCTTTTTCATAATTTGTGTAAAACATTCAGGTGGAAAGAGAAATGTGCTCGGCCTCAGCTGAGTTTGAAGACTTTGTGCTGCAGTTCATGGACAGGTACGTGGAGTTTTGATGAACATTGGCTGCATCAAAATTCATGAGCTATAGTTACTTTTAATAACAAAGTTGTGATAGCCATGGTGTTGCATTGTTGCATTGTTCAGGTCAGCTGATGAGCAAATATAATAAAATACTGGTTCTGTTCTGTAAAATGGTTTCTTAAAACACACATGGCTATTACCTGTTACTTAGTCACTTAATAATTTTACCAGAGGAGTTTTTCATAGCTATCACAAGAACAAATCAAAGTGGTAGCTTTCAAATTTTGCCTTCAAAGTTGTTATTGGTACATTGAGGTGCAAGATAAATATGACAGAATTTTCATAGCATTACTGAGAAATTGATGATGGATCTATCCCTATAAGCAACAGAATCTTCTGTTGTTGAGTGAAATAATATCTGAACATTTTTACTTATGGGTTTCATTTTTCTGCATAGATGCTTTGCCCTGATAGACAGCAGCACTCTGGAACAAACTCGGGAAGAAACAGAAACAGAGAAAATGACTCAATTGGAAAGTCTGGTAGAGCTCGGCCTGTCTTCCACCTTTAGCACCATCCTGACACAGTGCTCCTTGGACATATTCAAGGTTCAGACTCATTCTTCACAAAATTTCCTCATTCTACTTTTTATGTACTTTATAAAGTATTAACGCATTTCATTATGTTGGTTTAACAGGTGGCTCTGGAAAAGTTGTTCAATTTTGCAACCACCAACATCTTTGAGACACGTGTGTCTGGTAGAATGGTCGCTGATATGTGCAGAGCTACTTCCAAGGTTGGTCTTGTCCACTGAGATTCTTCATGTAGGCCTAAAGCATTAACTTCTAGTAGCTTAATAATTTACCATCTTCATATTCACTTTGCTTCTGTTTTCAGTGTCACCCTGCAGAATCACTCAAGAAGTTTGTGCCACACTGCTGCAATGCCATACACCAAATCGCTGTCAGTAAGTGCTCACCACACATACATAAGCATTTCTATAAGAGAAGGTTTTCATATTCATGGCTCATGTGTCTTCCTCATTTGCCTGACACCAACTATTTTTTTAACAGATGAGGAAGTGCTGAATGAGGAGGAGCTTGACAAGGAGTTGTTGTGGAACCTCCAGCTACTGTCTGAGGTGACCCCTAAGTTGCAGTGTTTACCAACACCTTCTATATATAAATGTGTAGTATAACACCATTTTTCCGCTTCTCATCATGTGCATCTCAGGTGACTCGAGTGGATGGTGAGAAGATCCTACCTTATCGTTCTGACCTGGTCCAGATTTTGCAGTTAACGCTCCACCTCAAGTGTAAGCAAGGCTATATGCTAGCCTGCAACCTGCTCCACCACATTCTTCGTTCTTCTGCCCTCATCTTCCCCACAGAGTACTGCAGTGTGCCAGGAGGGTTCCACCAACCAATTGGTGACTACTTACCCATCAAGGTACTAATACTGTTTAATTTGGCAAATCAGAAGCTTAATCAGCTCAATAATCACATTTCTTTCAGTGATAATGTAAAGTAGTCCTGCTTTATGCATTGTGGATGTTCCTTAGAAACTTTGTGACCAAATATTCACTCAGTGAGAGATTTTTTTTTTTAGGAACAAAAGCACACTTGCAATTAATGACATTTGTCCTTGAGCCATGGAAGTTCAGAAACCCTCTGTGGCGCACTCTGTGACCTGGTCTGATTAATTGCATGTTCCTGGCTTTAGATAGTTAGCCAGTGAAGACAGCCTGTGCTTTGATCCCATTAAGTCTCTTCCTAGCGTACAGAGGCATGGACATTAGATCGCTTGGCCGGATTACCGTCTCCTGCGCCACAGGAGAGATGAAACAAGAGTCTCATTTCCCATAGTTGCCAGTAGTAGAGCAGCTCGTGCAAATGAGTTACGGGTTGCATCAGCCTTCTGGTGGCCTTTAATAAATTCCATATACAGATATTGATATTTTTTAATGCAGTGAAGCACTGTATGTGTAACCATGTCAGAACATATAAATTAACCTTTGGACATTAAGCATACAAATAGTGTGCACTTTTGTAAATCATGATTTGTCTGACTTTGATTATTAGCCAAAGTTGTATTACAGTAAGTAATCAAATAAATATAGCCATGCTACTCTCTACTTGCCGAGACTGCCTGTACTTTTTCCTTCATGCCAGCAAAAAGTGTCAACTGATAAGTCTGTGTTGAGCTTTAAGTTGCACTGGCCGCTACCCAGTTCCTACCATAAATACCATGTGCTTTTTACCCTGATTACAGGTTTAAACAGTGGATATCTGAGTTGTGCCACAAAAAGGAAAACAAACTAACTTTTATCTAATGGTGTTAATGAGCCTGTTATTTTAACTGAACTGAAGTAATGTGTAAAAAGTATAAGTTTTGATTATTGTGTTTATCCATGTAGGACTGGGGTCGACCTGGGGACCTGTGGAATTTAGATATTCGGTGGCATGTGCCCAGTGCCGAAGAGACTTCCTTTACTTTTTATTTATTGGACCTGATCCTCCAGCCAGAACTTCAGCGCCTTCAAAGATTTGCACAAGGAGAACAGGACATGAGCAGGTAAGGAGGAACAACTCTGAGTGCTCCTCAGAGAAACTGGCTGTTGACTATGTTCCGTCCAGGTTTAATTCTTTGGTGTATGTAAATATGACAGGTGTTGGTTTTGTGTTATTTCAGAGATGATGTGCTACAGAGCCTGGCCATCATTCAACACTGCCTCCTAGGAGCTGGGTGCCTGATGCCTGCACTTAAAGGAGAGCCCATTCCTGAACTGTGAGCAGTTGCATTCACATACTAATCTGTTCTCCTGCCTAAGAAAGAGAAAACCACTGTCTGCGTTTTATTTTATATAGGACAGGTGTTTTGAGGCACATCCTTATTTCCACAAAATTTGTTTTCAGAATTCATTTTAAAAGTGAAATCATTATGTTGACTTTGAATCTGCTTTCCCTCAGGGTCCATAGCATGGTGAGTCTAGATGAGATCACCCTCTATACAGGGATGGACTATGGTACGCAAGTCACCTTATAAATATTGTTATACAATAGTTTTTTTTTTTCTCTCAATAGATGTAAAATATAATATTTATGTAATGTAATATCCACCTGCAGATGAGTCCAGAGAGAACTACAGAGATACTATTTGTTGTGTGATGAGACAGCTGCTGCGTAAGTGTTCTCTCACTTATTCTCTCTCTTAGACCACGTTCACACTGCAGGTTGAAGTGACTCAAATCCGATCTTTTTGCCCAAATGTGACCCATACCCGATTTCCTTATGACAGTGTGAACAGCACAAATCCGATTTTTTTCAAATCCGACCCAGGCCACTTTCATATGTGGTCCTAAATCGGATACGTATCCGATCTTTTGCAATGCGACTTCAGTCTGAGCGGCCAGGTCGCATTTCATGCAATTTTTATGTCATTGAAATGCGACAGACGTCACAATTCTGCACTGAAGGAGGCGAGGGATAACAAAAAAATGGCAGACAACGGTGATTCAGGTGGTGATAACGTTTCCCTTCTCACTCGGCAATTATTAATGAATTCTGTGTCCGTGAAGCCCCTCACGGAATCCCACCAGTCCTGGCTCCGACTCCGCACCCACACATTCCTCTGTACAGAGGTAGCAGCCACTGCTCCACAAAAGGCCATAAGCAATTTTTGTGCTCTCCTTCTTCTTGATATTCTTCTTCTTATTATGTCTTTATTTCGATTGCACATTAACTGGTACATTGCTATGCACATGCTATCTCAAGTCACATCCATTTTTATTTCCGCAAACACAGTACGCTGCGTTTGACGTCACGTCCTCTTCTGCGCATGCGGGTCACTTCAGAGCCGTATACCGTTCACACATGGGACAGATGGCAATCGCATTTAAGTGACAGTGTGAACAACAGTGCAAAAAAATCGGATTTTGGCAAAAAATCCGATCTGAGCATTAAGATCTGCAGTGTGAACGTAGTCCTAGACTGGTGGTGATCTCTTTGTATTCCACAGCCACATCCCTAACCAAACTGTAGTTGCATTCAGCTTAACAGCCAAGCTCACAGTATCTGTAGGTATCTTTCCTACCATTGTTTACCTCTTCTTGCAGATTATATCCTGGAGCACTCTGAGGATGACACCAAGTCTCTTTTCTCCATCATCAAGGTGGGCAGGGAATAACACAGTAGCCTGTACACTTTTAAGTCTGGCTGATTTGTTTGTGTTGAATAATCTGCGTTACATCAGGGTTCAAGCGATATGGCACAATTGCCTTTTTGCCACCCCTTTAGCCAGCATTTGCTTATATTTGGCTCAGATCAGCAAAGCTCTATACAACTGTATTATAGATAAACAAAACATACACTCACATGATATCTTTTGGAAAGCCACAGTGGAGCAGTGTTTAAGTTGTTACATGCTGTGTGGGAAACTGTGCAGCCATAGACTATCACTGAATTTATTTGACTTGGGTTTAAGTCTCAAACACAGACTATTGCCAGTAGCTGATGTTTTGATCCTATCACCCAGCACTATTTATTATTTGTGTGTATCTTTCAGATTATCAGCGACCTGTTGCATTTCAGAGGTTCTCACAAACAGGAGTTTGACTCCCGCTGGAAGAGCTTCAACCTTGTGAAGAAATCCATGGAAAACAGAGTGAGAATTGTATCTTTTCAGTACTTTTTTATATAGATATAGTATTGTTATTCTGGGAAGTACTCAAAAAGCATTCACCGTCTCCCTCAAACTTTACTGTAAATCATATACATTAGTGATACTGATATTGTATCTTATGTTGAAACTGATTGGCAACTTAAAGCATATAATGCCTTGTTGTTGTATTTGCAGCTTCATGGCAGAAAGCAGCACATCAGAGCTCTGCTAATAGACAGAGTCATGCTCCAGCATGAGGTAAGCTGATAATAGAGAAACTACCTTTCAGGCCAGCATTGTATGATACCATTTATAAACATGAATATTTGTTTTATCAGCTGCGAAAGCTGACAGCAGAAGGATGTCGGTACAGGAGCATTCACCGGGAGTTGATGAGAGATCTGTTGAGGCTTTCCACAAGTGCCTACAGTCAGGTGAGTTCCACCAGTCATCCTACAGCAATGCATTGTCTAAATCATATTAAAGCATTGCCTCTATGTCTAACCTATTTCTTTCTTTCTTTCTTTCTTTCTTTTTAACCATACAATTTCAGGTTAGCTGTTACCAATCCTAAATCAGAATGACTTAACATTTGACTAGTCTTTTGGATACACCTGAAGTAACTAATACGTTAACTGAGACCTTATTACCTTCCAGGTACGCAGCAAAGCTCAAAATGTGTTGTTCACTGCGCTGGGAACCTACAATTTCTGCTGCAGAGATTTGATCCCCCATGTCCTAGAGTTTCTCAACCCTGACAACAGCAGTTTCACACAGCAGCAGTTCAAAGTATGACAGCCCTCTGCACCATAAATACTCTAAACAGATGTTCATATCTAGGAATGGATGTTTCTAGTTTTCATATATGCTTTGTCTGAACGTCTCCAGGGTGCTTTGTACTGTCTTCTTGGCAATCACAGTGGAGTGTGCCTGGCCAATCTGCACGACTGGGAGTGCATTGCTCTTACGTGGCCCTCCATTGTACGCTCTGGCCTCAGCTCAGCCATGTCTCTGGAGAAGCCCTCTATTGTGCGGCTCTTTGATGACCTTGCAGACAAAATCCATCGCCAGTATGAGACCATCGGCATCGACTTTTCTGTGAGAATCACACTAACAGCACTTCCACAAAATGATAATAGTCAAAATCAACGGTGGTATCTGTCAAACCGGAATAGTAGAAGCTCAATAACTCAAATTATAGGTTAGCTCTAAGCAACCGAGTAATCGGCATCAAATGCTACATTGGTATGATTTATATTGTTTATTATATTGCAAAATTGTTATGATTTCAAGATACCAAGTATGGAAGTGCATTGCATTCACCAAACTATCAATAGCTCAGTCATGTAATTATGTAGGATCTTGTTACTATGAGATAAAATCTCCCAAATATGACACTTCCTTTCCTCCAGTTCTTCATCTGAACTATCCAGTCACCAACTGATTTTTGATAAAGGGGTGTGTTGGTCCATAGTTATTTTGTGGAGGATGGTCTCTTGTATACTCACTGATGTCTCCTCCAGCCTTTCTACATTTGGCTGAATTATTTTTGATATTGTATGTTTAATTATTATCATCCTTTTAGGTCCCTGGTGAGTGCTGTGCTGTGGCCAAACAACTTATGATTAGTGGATGTCCTTTTCCTGAGGAGCCTGTTCCTTCAGAGGAAGAAACAGCAGAGGGCCTAAAGAGACAGGAGCTTAAGAACTCGGAGTCCGTTGAGTAAGTTCACACCAGCAACAAGAGAAAAAAATCACCACCACACCAAAGCTCTTGCAAATCTCCCTCCATTTTAAGGACCCACTGTGATTATAAATTAACCGTGAGTCTCCAGTTTACAACATGTTCTTTTGGCCTTGCAGAATAAAACACTTAACCCATCTGTTAAAATGGTTTGTTTACTCTGCATACAACCTTTATGACAGCAAGATTAATTTTGTTACATAATATGGGCAAATGCAAGTCTTTGTTCTACATTTTTGTAGGAGATACAGACAACTCATTGCTGATCTGCTGGACTGCCTCAGCAACAGGAACATGTAGGTTAATGTAATATTTACTTCTTCAAAACACATTTTTATATATTTATTACTGTCTGTAACACCGCCTGCTTTGTGTAACGTTCCAGGCCTTGGAAGTTCGAACACATTGCAATTGGCTTCCTGTCACTGCTGCTGAGGGATGACCACCAACTCCCACCAGCTGCTGTTACGTTCTTTGTCAGAAGTCTCAACCATGACTCCCTCTATGTCCGCAAGGTGTGGCATACACAAATTATGAGATGTAGTAATGCTGGGATTCTCAAACAACATGTGGATGTATCTCAGTCTTTCCTGTGGACATTTTGTTTGAAATGTCTTATTTCTTCCATTAGGTGGCAATATCAGCTGTAGCAGGAATTATGAAACAAATAAAAAGACCACATAAGAAAGTCCCCATCAGTGCCTCTGAGCTTTGTAAGCATCTTTGCATTTTGTCTTTAGTATGAACATTTGTTTATCTCGTTTTCTAAATCTCATCTTTAAAATCTTTACTTATTTTTGGTAGGTAAAGTGAAGGAGCTAAGTGCTATTGTAGCAGGGGACCGTCCAGACAATCAGTGGCTCCAGTACGACAGCAGCAGCCTGCCACACACACAGCAGGACTGGGATCGCTGTGTGTTTGTGGAAAAGACTCACTGGGGATACTACTGTTGGCCAAGGTTCTCATTTTATTATGTCTGTTCTGTCTTACTTTGTGTACTTGACCGTTGGCTGCCTTGATATATTTAGCTGTTTCCCTTGATGTCTGTCAAAGAATATCTTTCACCTTGTTTTCATTTACCATCACTTTGTTATTGTTCTCTAGAAAACTGATAACGTATGCACCACTGGAGGAACAACCCAAACAGAACCTTACCAGAGAGGAAATGACAGAGGTTTGTGCACAGTCGTGCACAACCCCCTAAGAAACATTTTATATATTTAATAATGTTAACTGCTTCTAGTAAAATTATTGTCATTCCTTTCCTAACAGCGGGAGCAGATCATCTTTGACCATTTTTCAGACCCAGTGTTCATCAACCAGTTCATCATGTTTCTCTCTCTTGAGGACCGTAAGGGCAAGGACAAGTTTAGTCCTCGCAGGTTCTGTTTGTTCAAGGTGAAACTTCCTCAGAGTACTTTCAGATGTAGAAAAAGAAAGAACTATAGTCAGCCAGTTAAAAAGAAAATGAATTTGATCCATTCTGCTGTCCTTCTAGGGATTGTTTCGCCATTTCTGCGATGCCTTTCTGCCTGTTCTGCAGCCACACATGGAGCGGCTAGTGGCCGATACCCATGAGAGCAAGCAGCGTTGTGTGGCAGAGATTATCTCTGGACTGATCAGAGGCTGCAAGCATTGGAGCTACTCAAAGGTACGGATTTGAAACACTCCTGTAGTAAGGTGGTGAAGTGTAAAACAACAAAAACATGCATGTAATTTCATCATGTCCTGGCTTCTGAGGGTGCGTTCTTGAAATTTCAGAGTGTAGATCTTTCAGCTTAAATGAATCACTACATACACTTCTGCTCTGTTCACAGGTTGAGAGCCTTTGGGGGCTTTTGTGTCCACTGCTCCGTACTGCCCTATCAAATATCACAATAGAAACTTACGCAGACTGGGGAACCTGCATCGCCACAGCCTGTGTAAGCCTTTTTGTTCATTTACTTTTAATGTATATTTATTCTCATATTTGCTGAGCTTGTGTCTCACACCCTACCCTCCACATCACTATGTTGATTCTGACACAGGAGAGCAGAGACCCACGGAAGCTTCACTGGCTGTTTGAGATGTTAATGGAGTCTCCAGTCAACGGAGAGGGGGGTTCCTTTGTCGATGCCTGGTGAGTAGAAAGGTGGCTGGGTTGGGGTTTTTTTTTTTTTTTTTTTTTTTTTTGAGGTTACGGACAAACTCCTGATTTTGCTTTCTTTTCCAGTCGTCTGTATGTGCTGCAGGGAGGACTAGCTCAGCAGGAGTGGCGTGTTCCAGAGCTTCTCCACAGATTACTGCAATACCTGGAGCCCAAACTCACACAGGTTTACAAGAATGTACGGGAACGGATAGGCAGGTGAGGTCCTTTTTACATCCCTAGTGAAAGTGAATGTATAATTTATCATTATTTAACAGTTTGAATGCTTTTGTGTTTTGTGGCATCCTTCCAGCGTCCTCACATACATCTTCATGATTGATGTCAACTTGCCACACACCGAGCCAACCACCTCCCCACACATCTCGGACTTCACAGAGCGAATCCTGTTGCGGTTGAAGCCTCTAACCGAGGGTGATGAGGAGATCCAGAACCACGTGGTTGAAGAGAATGAGGTGGGAGAGCAAGATGAGAGGACACAGGCCATAAAGCTACTCAAAACAGGTGGGTCAGCTGTTCTGTGTTTTCCTCGATCTGTCACCATCTCTTGGGAACTTAATAGCAGGCAGGAATTTCTTTTTGCCTAACATGAAATTAAAGCAGTGGATGGTTCTTTAAACATAATAATTCTGTCTCTACATCTCCGAAATGCAGTGCTAAAGTGGCTGATTGCAAGTGCTGGCCGCTCCTTCTCCACTGCTGTCTCAGAACAGCTACGGTTGCTTCCCCTGCTCTTCAAGGTGAAAAACTCACTCATTCAACAACTTAAAATTTTTTTTATAAATACATGCACATTTAATTGACCTAAAATGACACCTACCTAGCTTTTAATCCATGTCTGTCCTGTGCTCCAGATTGCTCCAGTTGAGAATGATGACAGTTACGATGAGCTGAAGAGGGATGCAAAGACCTGTCTGTCTCTGATGTCTCAGGGTCTCCTGTACCCAGAGCAGATTCCTATGGTCCTCAGTGTGCTTCAGGAGGTGAGTCATCTGACAGTCTTGGCTGAAGCTAAAAGATGAAAGGGTCAAAACAACTGAATTATTATTAAATGATTCTATGAGATAATTTATTGGTTCATTATCTATATTGAGTGTCACAGTGAGCAGCACCCTGAAAAGCCCCACCAGGTTACATTGTGGTGCAGAATGATACATGAATATAAGGAACAATAACCAATATGATACGCAAAGTGGATAAACTAGTAATTAGAGAGTGAGCAGTTTCTGATTTAACTGTTTGATATAGATTTTCAAAATGAGGGGTTCCCCCACCCCAAAGAGCAGAACTTGTCCAGGACATGGGCTGTTCTTCATGTGAAATAGATGCTCGGTTTGTTTTTGATGTGGGATGGGTCTGCTGTTGTGTGTTGCAGATCGCTAGAAGCAGCTCCTGGCACGCTCGCTACACGGTGCTCACATACCTCCAGGTTATGGTTTTTTACAACCTGTTCACCTTCATGAGTGACCAAAAAGCAGTGAATGATGTGCGAGCACTGGTGATACAACTGCTGGAAGATGAGCAGCTGGAGGTAAAAACAAACAGTCACCAGTCTGACATTAAAATCATTCAAAATATAAAACCAAAGGCTGAAAGATGGTCAGAAGATGAATAAACATATTGCAGTATGATTATATAATAACCACCAAGCTGTTGCCCTGTACATGCTTGTTTATGCTAGCAGGTGCTCTCACTGTCTTTCAGCTTCACTGTAGTGATTCAGCACTCTCCTCTTGGCTCTCCACTCTCTTTCCCCCTCCAGTCCTCTACCTGTCGCTATGGAAACCACAGGCTGCAGTAATCTGTTGCTATGGTGATAGTGTTCAGATTGAAGGAGGATGAGAGGGAGAGGAATGGAGTAGACACAAAGGAGAAGTGGGGGATGGATGGATGGAGCTGTTTTTGTTTGGCCTCTTAGACAGACTGATGTATAGGGCTCAGCTATATGACACTGCTTCCATGTATTCAGAATCACTATTACACATGTCCAATTTGTGCTTCCAGTGACCTCTTTCTATTTTATATTGCTAAATAAGCCGTGTCACACAATACACTCACACTTTACTGGTGAGGAGTCTGCATTCATTTATAAGAGAGAAAAACCTCCCGTTCATACAGAAGTTCCTTTTGTAACTTAAAAAAATGTGCCTAAAGTAGACACTGTGTGGTTCTTGTTGATCTTGTACAGTATGCTAACTTGCACTATACAATTTCTGCTCAGCTTAAGAGAAAAGTACTAATTGCCCCAGTGTCCTTTCTTGTGGAGAATGCTGCTGAAAGAGCTGCATTATACCACAAGAAAATCCCCCCCCCACTACTTCAGTTATGCTAATGATGATCAGAATATAGGACGAACTTTTAGAGCATCTCTGTATGAAAAAGATGTTTAGAAGATTAACATAGTAATTTGAATGGCAAACATATATATCGGACATCCTGTAAATGTGTTGTCACACTTAAATAGTAATGAAATACAGTAAAGCAACAAAATAAAATAATAGTAATCAAAATGTTTTAAATAAAATATATGAGCTTCATGTTTTCAGAGCACCACATTACCCGACTTCTATAACAGGGCTTGGTATTGTTATTCAGGAGGCAAATGAAGTTTACGTCCTCTTGAAATATTTATTACTTTGATGGAGTGGCAGAAAATAGGAGAGTTGAAAAACAAAAACTGTGGAGTACCAGTAATGATTCACACAAAGGGAGGTTTGAGCCTTATCCTCTTTGGGTAACTGCTGAACAACCTGCTTATCTTTTAGTACATATTAGATTTGACCCAAATGTGCAAGTTGTCAGTAAGTGGCACTTTACATTTTCCCAAAGTTTATGGAACTACAGTGTAATATGAAATCTCATTAAAGTATCCATTTTACAGACACAGTCCTCAGGCCATGTTTCAGTTCATTGTAAGCAGTATGTACTTTAGTTTTTCAGTTGCTTCCTTTTTCCTTTCATGACATAAATATGTTAAATAACAGCACATTCCAGAATGATCAGCCTTTTAATCTGTGTACTCAGATGGACCAAACAGTGCGTTATAATTTATACAGAATTGCACTGTAGTGACACAATCCACTTTGATTTTAAATTCCCATCTCTTCTTTCTGCCTGTGTTTTCTAGGTAAGAGAAATGGCTGCCACTACACTCAGTGGCTTCCTTCAGTGCAACTTCCTGTCAATGGATTCCCCCATGCAGGCACATTTTGAGGCTCTCTGCAAGACTCGCTTACCTAAGAAGAGGAAGAGGGAGCTCGGTGCTGTAGTGGACACCATACCCTCTGCCGGCAAGGAACTACTCAAGAATACAGTACACTCAGTATGATGTTCCTTCTCGTTTTAATGGCACCCCTGTTGTGTATTTGTAGACCTGGTGCGACGCCATGCTGGCGTTCTTGGATTGAGTGCTTGTATCCTCTCCAGCCCATATGATGTCCCGACCTGGATGCCCCAGCTGTTGATGGACTTAAGTGCTCACCTCAATGACACACAACCTATTGAAGTATGTGTAATCACCTACATGCAACCATCTGTTGTTGCAGTGGAATTATCTTTCAGCCTCATTTTTTCCACTTTCCTAACTCTTGTCAACAAAACCTGTCCAATGTCAGTTATTAAGTAAAAAAATATGTTCAGTTGTATATTCACTGAATGAAAAAAATCACCATAATGTGTTTGTGGCCTTCCAGATGACTGTGAAGAAAACTCTGTCAAACTTCCGACGGACCCACCATGACAACTGGCAGCAACATAAACAGCAGTTCACAGATGATCAGCTGCTGGTCCTCACTGACTTGCTAGTCTCCCCCTGTTACTATGCCTAAAACCTGCACACAGATATTAGCCTGCAATGGGGAGGAGGCTCCAGTTCTTGCCTGACAAAAAATAAAAAACACAGCATCACCCTAGAAAAAGAGCGGCACACAAAGCACCTGATTTGTGGCACAAAGAAGAATTAAAAAGTTATGTATTTAGCGCATTTACATTTCTACTATACTTAATATTTAAGGATAAATCATAGCAGGGATGAATGACCTGCAGTTTGTAACATAACTGTACAGTATTTTCTCCTTTTTTGATTTGTGTGCATGTGCACGGGTGTATGTGTGTGTGCATGGGATGCCGGAAGGCATCTGCCAGTGTCCCACACATTTCTCAGGATTATATCCCAAGTATCAGCTCTGAGCCAACACAATGTCCAGGGTAGGACATACTCTTTACTATCTTCCACTAGTGAAGTGTTTGTTACAAATCACAGAGAATTGACTTTTGAAGAACGGTCTCTTTGGACCAGACTTCAAGCTGCAACACACAATGTTTGTGTGGCTGTTTGATCTATATATGATTGTATGCATCATGTATGTATATATCATAGTATAGCAAATATGCACAAAGTCAATTATTTAACTTTTTGAAGTGCTAAGATTTACTTTTTTTGTTTGTTTTTCTGAGATTAAGTAGATAACTGAACTTTTAGTAGTGGAGCCTTTTCTTATCTACTCTTGCAAAGAAAGGGAGAGGACAAGCTCCCCACTGCTGTGCTGTGCGATGTGTTTGCTGTGAGGACCTGATCAGTTTGATTACCATTTCATGTGACTTGGTGCAAGAAAAAAACCAAATTGCCTGACCATAATTGTGACCTCTTCCCTCTAATCCTCTGTCTCATTTACCTTTTTCTAAAAGCCAGTGAGTTCAAATGAGTTTGGTTTGCTTATGGTTTACCCTGATGACTTGAAATCAGTATGAGCATTGAAGCATTTAGTACCTCACTTATGTATAGTGTAGTGCCAAAACTGCAGTGGTTTTTTTTTTTGTTTTTAGATGTATGGTTTGCTTATTGAATGAGGCGGTAATAAATTGTTTCTAACAAAATGGAATTAGATGTTTTTATTTTGAAAATTTCTCAATATTTAAAATATAGTTAAGTAGTAAATGGACAAACTTATTTTAAACCCATATTTTTCAGTGTAAGGACTATCTCAAAGGTAGTCTCTTAAGATCAATTAAACCTAGAATGACGTTGCACTGCTTTTTAAATTTTCCAGAAAACATTGGAATGTGATTTCTCTCTCTCTTTACCAAAGGACCTATTTGAGAGCATATATCTTGGCCCTTTGTGGCCCACGGTTAACTTACCTGCTACTCGCATCGCTTATCAACCATGTTGAAGACTTGATGCGTTCAAAGATGTCAGTAAAAAAACGGGAAAAAAATAACATTACTTGTAAATGTGTTGTATTTGTTTATCGTGCCGAACGACGTCTCTCAGGTGTTGTAAAAGCAATGCAAGCTCCTGTCTGTTAAAATGGTTTTTGACAGACCGTAACTACATACAACTACTTTCTGCTATCACGGATAAAATTAAAAATGTTATTTTGTTAAAACCTTTGCTGCAGTAACATCTGACTTGTCACAGGCGATTGTCTCTCAAACCTTGAGCAGTAGGAAACTGGGGGAACTATTCTTTCTCTGTCCAATTGCAGATGCGTACAGGGAGAAAGGAGGTTAGTTTTTACAGAAGGATGGTTACTTGAATGCAGTGGTTTTGCTCATGCCCAGATACGTAGGCAGTGACTTAATAGTCATTTTTCATTGTACGTCAAGTGGCCGTCGCTCCTGTATAAGACTGGATATATCGCCAAGCAAACGAACATGCTGTCATGTCTTCGCATTAGAATTTAACGCAGACGTGTAAGGAAGCGTATTTTTGTCTGTCTGTCAATGGACTGATCTGTTTTGGTTGGGCTGCTGTTGAAAAACGTTTTTTTTTTTAAAGCTGCGGTGTGTTCACTTACTATACTGCTTTAAACTGAAGATGGACTGTATCGAATGATGATGATGATGATGGACTCACGATTGACGACAGATGGTAGGTTGTTTTCTCATTGTCAGTTTAGATTATCCAAGACATTAAATATGTAGAGATAAATGAGTAAGATAGTGATATATTTCCTCTGGATTTCAGCAGACGCTGTGTATGTTGGGGGAGAGGTGGGAGTAAGGTATAATTGGTCAAATGCAGTGGTGCATAGCTGTAGCTTACAGCTTCTTATTATATGTAGTCTACCCTTTTAGCACTCAGTGGCAAGTTAACTATACATTACTCAATTTCATCAATTGTGAATGTATTAAAAATGATCTACTGCACAGTATTATAGCTAATATTTGACTTTGTATCCCTTGCAGCATTCTACCAAGGTGGCAGCATTGACCAAGGCAGCAGATACTGTGATCATCATGTAGGCTGCTTCTTCCATACAGAAGAATAATGTTGAAACTGATGACTGTGGGTACCTTATAGATTGTTAATAATACAATGAACACCACTGTTACACCATCAGACCTGGTGGATGTGCCAAGACATCAGACCTTCAATGGCACTCTGGGCACACAGAGCCCATCAGGTTGGGCTGTGATCCACGCTGCTACTTTGACCTTTTGCTCTCTCCTTCTCGTCTTCATCTTCTGCCTGGGCTCCTATGGCAATCTTGTGGTGTTCCTGTCCTTTTTTGATCCGGCATTTCGCAAGTTTCGCACCAACTTTGACTTCATGATTCTCAACCTGTCCTTCTGTGACTTGTTCATTTGCTGTGTGACTGCTCCCATGTTTGCACTGGTGCTCTTTCTGGATGCAGGCGGAGGGGACGGCGTGTCAAAGAGTTTCTGCTTTGCCTTTCACTTAACCAGCTCAGGCTTCATCATCATGTCCCTGGAGACAGTAGCTGTCATTGCTTTGCATAGACTGCGCATGGTTTTGGGGCAGCAGCCCAACCGCACTGCCTCCTTCCCCTGCACTTTGGCTCTCACTGCCCTGCTGTGGACATCCAGCTTTACCATGGCTGCTCTCCTTACCATGCGAGCATATCCTCGTAGAGATGGACCCTGCTTGCCCCACTTTGGCTTGGGAGGAGGACAAGCCAGGGTTGTGTTGTATGTCTACCTGGCAGACTTTGCCTTTTGTGTAGCTATGGTATCTGTATCCTATCTGATGATTGCTCAAACACTGAAGAAGAATGCACAAGTGAGGAAATGTCCTATCATCACAGTAGATGCCACATGCCCTCCACCCCCACCACCTCTCATTGCAGCAGGCTTCGAGAGTATGCAGTGTGCTGTTCAAGGCCCTTCTCTGTACCGTAACCAGACTTACAACAAACTGCAGAATGCGCAGACACACTCTTATGCCAACAGGTCAAGCCTGCGTCTGGTTCCAGGTGCTGCCCAAGGAGCCACCTGCTGTCAGGTCGTGTCTACAGTTAACTTGGCCACAACTAAAGACTCTAAGGCAGTTGTTACCTGTGTAGTTATAGTGCTCTCTGTGCTGCTTTGCTGCTTGCCGATGGGAGTTTCACTGGCACAGGATGTTTTGTCACCCGAAAGTAGCTTTGCACATTATCAGTTCGAACTGTGCAGCTTTGTGCTAATTTTTCTCAAATCGGGCATCAATCCTTTTGTGTACTCTCGCAACAGTGCAGGCCTCCGCCGCCGTGTGCTGTGCTGTATTCAGTGGGTGGCACTGGGTTTTCTCTGTTGCAAGCAAAAGACTCGCCTGCATGCAATGGGGAAGGGCAGCCTGGAAGTCAATCGCAATAAGTCCTCCCATCATGAAACCAATTCCGCCTATGTCCTATCACCTAAGCCACAGAGGAGGCTGGTAGACCAGGCTTGTGGGCCCAGTCACTCCAGAGATTGCGCTGGTAGTCCAAGGGTCACAGGTGTGCGCAAACCTCGTCCCCCAAGTACCTCTACACCTATCAATACCCGCATAGAGCCCTACTATAGCATTTATAACAGCAGCCCCTCCGCAGGGCTCAGCTCCCCCACCAGTCTGCAGCCTGTCAACTCTCAGACATTTGTCATTGCCAAGTCCTATGTAGCCATGCACTACCACACTCACCAAGATGCACTACAAGACTTTGAAAGCACCTCTGTGCACCAGATTCCCATTCCCTCAGTCTAATCAAGCCTCCAAATAGTATGGCTTGAACAGTCTCACCCTGGTTTTAAATCAAATGTGAATCAGAAGAGGAACATAAACACAGGCCATTTTCTGTATATGAATCCATATTAATCTCTTCTTTTTTTTTGCAGTGGAAGGACATGTTCAGTTTTCTTAAAAGGAAAATTTAACCATGGACAGTACAAACATGCAAAAGATTTTAAAGGAGTATGAGTAGGAGTATGAGTAAATGTCTGCTCCAAAAAGTTCTTTACCGTTACTGAATTGGCTTACTTTTTTTCAACAGATACTACATTTTCACAGAAATTTGCCCATGTTGCACATGCATGTGCCATTGTAACCCAACTGGTTTTTATTGTAGCGAGAGACTGCAGTCGCTGGTTGAACTGTCTGAGCACTGATACCAGCTGCTGTAGTGTCTGAGATGGGCCGCCACGTGGCTCTCAGTGGCATGTGGTCACATGTGGTGAGACTTTTTTGCTTCTTAAGAAAAATGGATTTGTGAACATTTGTTTTTTTAACACAATAAAAGTTTGGCAAGTGCAGTGAATCTGTGCTTTCACTTTTTAACTAGAACTAAAACAAATGCGTATTGTGGGCAATTAATTATCACTGTTCTATGGAAGAGGATTGGTGCCACTGTACAAAAGTTGAGTTCTGACTTGTGATCTCAATATTTTGCCCTAATTCTTTTCCATACTTTTAAAGTAAAAATGTCCAAATATATCTGGTTCCAGTTTTTAAAATGTGAGCATTTTGTTTCTTTGTTATGGACGACGATAATGGCCACTGTAATAAAACAAAAAAAAAAAGTATTTAAGTTCTGACTTTAAAAAACTGTCAGAAGAAATTTAGTACTCAATTTTATTTGTTTTCATTTTGACAAAATGGTTACTCAAGAAAATGAACATGAAAATCGTTAACTGCAGTCATAGTTTTAACCAGTGGTGGAAGTCCTCAGATTATTTACTTACATAAAATACCACAGTGTAAAAATACTCCAAGTAAAAGTCTTGCATTCAAAATGTTACTTAAGTACAAAACTATTAGCAGAAAATATACTTAAAATACCAAAAACAAAAGTACTCATGCAAAATGGCATAGTTTACATGTAGCATTACAACATATTTTTTGATGATTATTTTGTACCTCACTTTTAATGCTGCAGCTGGTGAAAGTGGAGCTAATTTAAACTACCTGATATGCCTATAATTTGAATTACTGCTGGGGAACTTGTGCATTTTACACCAAGGATCAATAAATCTTGTGATCATACTGTATTTTGTTTTATTAACCTCTTTCTGAAAAGTAACTAAAGTTAGCAAATAAGTGTAGTGAGTACAACATATACACTATTTTTCTCTGAAATGTAGTGAAGTCAAAGTATCAAGTAGCAATAAAGTGCCGATACCTCAAAAATTGTACTTAATTAAATGTACATAGTACTTTCCACCACTAGTTTTAACATTGTCAGCAGCGTAAACGGCTAATTAAAAGAATTGCAGGTCTGTCTTAGAGAGCATTTCTGAATATAGCCACATGCTTATATTTTAAATGAGTGAGATACTGAGTTTACTCAGCAAAGAAACAGAGCTTGGCAGAGCTTCACAGACCTTCAATCACTCTGCTACACATCAGTGTAAAATTTATCTCTATTTGCAATGATTCTTTCACAGTTCCACTCTTTGGAATAACTGAAAAAAGGGCTTGTACATGGATATGATTATACTATGACCATAGCATTAGCCTCCTCTGGTGGAAATTTAACATGGCAGCTTACTGGAGTAGATGTCTTTCAATGGAGGATGAAAATACTTTGACCTTTCTAGAAGGAAAATGACAGATGCCATGTTTTTATAAAGTGAGGTCACTTAATGAATAATAGGAAAGCCGAGTAAAAACATTTATTTATTTATTGTAAAAGTCAAAGCAATTAAGTGGTCATCACCATAATTATGAAGCAAAGAAATTTGTTGCTATGATATCTTCATCAAGTCAAATATTTTCCCCTGTGTGGTAATGCAACACTATGAATGAGGTTTCATGTATTAAATGTATTCTTTGCTGCAATTGCATTGGTTTTTATCCATATGATACAGCAGTGACCAGGATCCCAGTGTACATCTTCAGAAAACCACAGAATACCTCTAAAAGGAACCCAGACATTCTGTACAGCCTACAGACTTGTCTGAAATTTTAATCAACCACTCACTTTGTTGCAACTCCATAGCGCCCCCTAATGCACAAGTTACTCACTTATCCTGTAAATTAACACAGCACACATTCTGACTGCTACAAAACATCTTCAGACTTGCTTTTTTCCCACAGACCTTACATGTACAAAGTGCCACAGTCAGGTTAGTTGCTAATCGCTTCGTATCACACACACAAATACACAACTTAAAGACAATAAACCTCTGTGAATATCGATTCTCCTGATTATCAGTCCCTTGATTTGCTTGCATTTAATCAGCACAAAGTTAAGCATAGATATGAAGCATAGGCATTAAGTCCATTGGAGTGAGGCATCAGTCACTGTGTTTTCACATAGTCTGAGCTAGCCTGCTGTATTTGCTGCAGTGTAGCGTTGCCCATCACACGGTTCACAGCACGGACTGGGGCTGTGTGCTGCTTGGAATACGCCAAGTCCAGGATCAAGTTTAACCTCAGTTCAACCTCACAGTGTCATGGGCTTCTCTCTCGCTCCAACAGGCTTCTGTTTTATGATAAGTGAGCTCTCTCGTCAAGTGCATCTCTCTGTCCTCTCCTTGTCCTTCATGTGCAGTTGCTGTCGTACGATCTTTGTCCGATTAGCTGGAGATTGACAGGAGTCCATGTTCATCAGCTGTGTCAAGAATCCTGCATATAACTGGAGACTCAACCTAGGGGGGAAACAAAATCACCTGAAACGTGGTGCCAGTCATCTAGGTAGAAACTATGTGCACTCAGCCAGTATAGGTAAATATTAGTCTTCCTGCCTTGTATTTCATTTTCAGGATCATTATAACACGACTTCCTCACATTTTAATTCCTGTTTTTATGAATACTTTATCAATATTTCAATATTAGATTACATTTTATTAGCATAATATTATTAACCATTCAGACTGTATATTTCTTTTCAGTTTTTCTGGGGGCAAACAAAAATTCTAGTTAACTTTGAACAGCCAGAGTGTTTGTATCCAAATGTTAGATTTGACTTACAAGTTTGCTTGATGATGCTTGTACATGTCAGTTTGCTAACCTGAATCTTGATACCTTTCATAGCATTGGGGCACTCATCTCTTTATCATTTCCAAATAAATCAGTTATGGACTTTACTAATACTAATGACTTACAGCAGTTACTAATGTTGTTAGTTATATTTGTGTTTGACAAGTTAAATATCTATGAAAAAGGTCAACTTAAATGCTATTTCACTTAACATTTGTCCTATGTACCCCAATGAACCACATTACTATTAGACTGGTTACAGTTTGAAACAGCACATTTCCTTTATTTAGCTCTCGAAACTAAAGTAGGGGTTAGCAGTGCCTAAACCAAGCATGTGCTTTATTTCAGTGACTCAGTGGTTACTAGTGAACCTACCCCAAGGATGTACTGACAGGTCTGAGGCTCCAGCATATAGACTGTGACAGCATGGGGAGACTCTGACTCCTTACATCTGACACAGAGAAGCAAATGATACGAGTGAATTAAATGGAAAAACATGGGGCAGTGTCTTACTCATGTTTTGACTTAGGGCAGGGACAATGTCTCTGCCCCTGCATTACAGCACACTCACTTGAGCTTGACAATGACCTGTCTGGGCTTTCCAGTCAGATCACACACATCCCCATGGCCATAAAAGTGGGAAACTAACCTAATAAAAAGAGAAAAATCAACAACAATCTGAACTTACATCCAGGGTTAAGGCTGTATGTGAATGGCATACTTGACTTTCTGCACTCCATCTTTGAGCTGGTAGGATCGAGCGACATTCTTCTTGGCCCACTCAATGTGCTCCTCTGCGTTCCAGCTCCCCACCACTACAGTGTTCTTTCCTTGCTCTTTATCCTAGAACACCAAGGAACATTTTCACTGTGATCAAATGCTACTTTCCTTTGTCCAAATATTTTGGACAGTTGGTTAAACAAAATAAAAAATTGAAGACAGCACCTTAGGCTTTAGGAAACTGATGTGGTTTTTTTTAAAATCAACCAATCGAGACAATCTACATATTAATTAAAAATGAAAATAATTGTCACCTGCAGCTCTACAGCCTTTAATGGGTTAAAGTGATACTGGACATACAATTGACTTTTTTTTAACAGTCTACATTAATGACTGAGCATCATACAGACACACTCACACCAGCAAATAGAGACCCTTACCTCATGATACTGATGGACATGCTTTCCATAACAGAACTCATATTTCCACCACCCTACCCCCTGAAACACACACATTAAGATGATAATGCTCAATTCAGATTATTATTATTATTTTTTGTCAGATCTTATCTTTTTGTAAGTGACATATCTGGATCCAGTGTAAACACCACTGAGCTCCTAAACTGTCACACATGTACAGATTTAACTGAATTGTGAGCCACACAAAAGAAAAACACATGTAAATAATAACGTCATTTGTACGACAGGAGTGAGATGCAAAAAAAAAAAAAATGGCTGCAGAGGCATTAATCGGATCTAATAGGCCGCCACGTACACAAGTGGCCCAGGTCTAAACTTAAAAAAACAAACAAAAAAAAAAGAATAATCAATTTATTGGCCAAGCATGTTACACACAAGGAATTTGGATCCGGTACAGAACCG